AACAGCGGTCTTTGAAGTGTGAGGAGCTTGAAACCAGTGGAAAGTGGTGGGGGAAATCAGCTCAAACACTGTGTTCCCATCTTGAGTTTTCGTTTTTGATACACAGCACACACTAGTGCCAAGCGAGTCCAGTTTGAGAGCAAGAGCAGTGTGTTGTCCTGATTGCTTCAGAAATCGGACATCAAAATCAGCCAGACAGACTGCGCGTCGAGGCTCAAAGATCCATTTCGAGATGCTTGAGACTGTCGGTGCCGGCTGACAGTGAGCAGAACCGAGCCCAAGACCAACGGGGTAGTCAGTCCTTACAAATGGGCCTGCACGGAGAGTATTGTTACTATTGGGGGGGTGTAAAAAGTATGTGGAAGAGGAATGGGGACATCAGCAGTGGCTTGCTTTTGCTTATCCAGTCTGCTATGTGCAACAAGTAAACCAAATTGATCGATGACACCAAGCGGCAGTCAATATGGAATGACTGTTTTGGGCTGCAGGAATCATGGTTGTACACGGGAGCGCTCAAACCCAGATAGGAGGGCGATTGGGGCCCTCGACCAAAGCCTTTGGCTCAAAACCCTGAACGTGAGACATGAAATACCAGTGCATTATAATTTTTTTGAAGAAAGTCACCCCACATGTCTCAGCCTCAACAAGGACCAACAGATTGTGTTGGTTAGGCCTCTAATCATCGACGAACCGGGCATGAGGCCCTGTGGGTAAAGCACGGCTCACTGGGTCATGGAGGCACATGGTGCCACGACGGACAGTCAAGAGGGGATACCCAATTAGAACGAATAGGTTATCGACAAGGAAAAGAGCGCCAAGAATCATGGCGTTAGGGCTTCGTTAGACTCACTGCATAAACACAAACTCTTGAAGACAAGTGTGAGAACCAACCGCACTAAAGAGAAAGCCCATTCACTGAATACTGGTGCTCTATCAAATAGAGGGATATCATTTAACGAGATAGTTGTTCGTATAGAATTAAATGCGCGAAATATGACAGTCTACTCAGAGGAACTACTTTTGCGCTGTACTTTTCGTTCATCTGTAGCACCCCTTCGGTGCCTAACTACCATGCCACCCGAGGGCTGGGATAGTGCCAGGCAAACCGATGGAGTCATCATGGGCTCTCCTCTTGGTCCTCGATTTAATAGCATCTTTGAGTAAACTGGACTTTGGCCGATTGAATGGGGGAGATTAGACGGTGCTACGCAAATCATACTTATATGCTAGTATCAAACAGCTACGAAATAGACGCATCCTGATAGACTGCAACCAAGCGCATCCCTTCATTCAGTTCATTTTCGAAACCTGCAGTGATAACAGGTTCAATTCAGAGACCTGTTTGAAGAGACCCCATAAACTTCGATTATATTGTGCCCCAGAAGCACAAACGAACCGTGGTTTATACTTTGGCGAACGGAGCTGGGCAAATTTGCTCTGTGGATACACTGAACTGAAGCATATGGATAACGGGCTCAGAGCCAACGGTTATTCACAAAGATTTATGGCCAAAAACGTTTATCAAGGTCGGACAACGCCCCCACAATACGCAGCGCGTCGCAGCCTCGTACCAAAGCCAGACCGTGTGCGTCAGCGTTGGACCAAGTTCAGACAGTGTCATTCCAATAAATAGCTTGAGAACGTTGTACTTTTGCACTCACACGCTCTCACACCCGCTTGTTCGGAATATAGCTGTTGTGTTCCCTTCTGTGAGTCTTTTTTTCGGTAACTAGGAGCTGGAGCGGGTCAGCAGCAGATACCTTAGATTGGCGCATCAGCAGGTACAACAAAAAGCTGGCTGTTGGCAGGCGCAATCAATCCCCACATGTTTCAACCCTTACAACGTACGTTTCAGGCTGCACCTCCGCGGTTTGTCGGTTTACAACCAACCATTTGCTCCACTTAAACCTCAGACACAAGATGCCGGTCATCACCCAATTTATGGTTACATTTCCTTTCTCCTGTCTGTGTTCGACGGTTTGTGTTAGGTGCATGACAGAGCAACTTGCTAAGAGAATATGTGGACATCTCTCTTGTCAGAACATCACTAGACTCAACGGCTCAGCCAAAAGCTCAATCTCATCACACGTAATTGATCACTTGATCAATCCGAACGAGTTTTTTCACGTTGTCTACTGAGAAGTACCCAACAGACTGCCAGTATACATCAGACGGTGTGGTTCGATTATAGCCAAATCAGTAGCAATACTTTTGCGGAGTCCGGAACTATGGGCGAGATGGCCCAAGTGGTTAGAGCGCGAATTTACTGACCGGAAGGTCCGTGGTTCGAACTCGACCTCTGCCTCTCGACTTCCCCTGTCTAGGCTTGGGCAACCTGACAATATCCCAGCCCTCGTGCTTCCTTCGGGTAGCATGGCAGTTAGGCACCGAAAGGGGTGTGATGCCGTCAAAAACGATTCGTACGAACGCAGAATCTGGCTTAGTCATGTCACACGAATCGACTGACCCAGTTGCTCAACAGCCCTCTTTAGAATGTCCTGGTTTGTGTGTTTCTAATCTACTGAGCAATTTGAGCCGCTTATTTCACCATGTACCCATGTTTTAAACTGAGCTAAAGGCGAAATTACGAAAACGTAAACGTTCGTCACCGTGTTCCTGTCGCAGCTGATGATAGCTTCACAGGATTAGAAGCTGCCTGTCTTCTCACAGGGTTCATGAAACCAACAGTTTGAAACTTACAATCAGGGAGCAAACCGAGTTAGGAACAATCGTATTAACTTCACATCAACGGGGAAAACTTTGTTTAAACAGAGTGATGGGTCAAGAAAGTTTGACAGTTACAAAGGGTGCATTAGTGGGACAGCTAATCAGTCAGTTTCTGCCAAAAGTAACTTTTGGACTAAAACATTGCTGTAATTGGTTCCAGAGGAGATATTATAAATCCCTCATCTGGTTAGCAACTAAATTACTGACGTAATCTATGCACATCTTGTTCACGTCCCAGCTGTGGAAATAGTTTGCTTCATTACGGCACATTTGTCCACAATAGGCGAGAGTGATATGAAAAGATGACTGCAAGAGTGCAATGAATTTGCTGTATTGTCCTCACAATCCTCAAGTCAAAACAGCTTGACAACACTGATGAAAGGAGGAACGCCCTTCATTGCGAAGTTGTTTATTGGCAAACGCGGACTAAGTGGTTACAAGCCATTAGGTACGAAAGTAACTATCTCATCTGCACGGACTTTCTGAAAAGTGAACATTCTCAAGCTTCCTCTTGAAATTCCCAGAACGTTCTTTGAATAGCAAACAAACATTGCAAAGTGGTTCCATAATTTCATCTCCACCTTCAATCAGATGCTAGCGAGCAGTATGGACACCAGACCAGAGACTACTTGCATGCCTCATCAGTAGTATACACCGCAGCACAGGCAGGCAGACCTATATTGTGCTACTTCGTCCAGGTCGCACGTGGCAGTTTGTGAAACTCACTACATGCTTGAGCGGATTTCCGACCACTAATTGGACCCCATATTCTGCAGATCCACATCCGACACTGATACAGGAGCGCGTGACATCTGTTTGACCACAACGAAAACGGGCACAGCTGACCAGACCTTAACCTCACTTACAGAAGCCTGGGCTGTACATCACTACAAGTTCAGCGTGTCCAGCATTTAAAGAACCTACGAACCATCGGACAATTGAAGTGATGAGCCATACAGACTACTGATCAGACAGTGGTGTACAAGGTGAAGTAACATGCGAAATGATTGCAATATGAACAAAGGATAAATAGAGCAGTGTGTGACGATATCACTTGCGTAATAGTGTATTACTTAAATAGACTGATAGAGAAATTCACACAATGCCAACCTGTCTTGTGGCACAGCAACTAAAAAAATTAAAAATACACGAGAAAATAAGGCTAGATTGACCTCGCAATACAGCTCAATAATAAAACTAGTAATAGGTTGGACCAAGTAAGGAAATAGTACTTTCACAAAAATGAAGAACATACATCTCTGTGACGCCGAGATTGGTTTTCATCGGAACCAACTTCCGGGGTAATATGACAGAATACCAAGCCGTTCGCATCTGAACTTCGGATGTGTGTCAAGTCCACTTTTGGATAGAAAAAAGAGGTTCGTACGAGATCCGTGTTTGAACGTTGTTTAAAAAAAGATTGACTGAAACCCAGACAGTAGTATGTTCAGTTTGCTTAAGCGTAGGGCACGCCAACGTCGCAAAGAAATCTATATTAAAAATAGGAAACTGAAATCATGCGATCCACAGGTAACATCTTTTGGGCACCGGGTCACTTAGGTTAACAAAGTGACCGAGATGCTTTGTTTTGGGTGGATTAAGCACTCAAGCTTTGAAATGTATTCTTTGTTATGCCAGTCGTTTCCAATCAATAAAATCACTTCCCGGCCCTCCGAATGCTCCTGTAAACATCACGGGGTGACATATGTTGTTTGTCTATAGAATCTGCTGGTCTCTAGTTACAAATCTTGCTCCCCAAAAATAAGTTGTTTGCAACCACTGAAGAATAATCACGTGTGTTGGGACAATGCTCGCTTACCATTGGGCCAACAATGAACAGCCACATAAACTAGTCCCTTCATGATGGAATATCGCTTGGTCGTTTTCGAATTTTTGAATGCCTTCAACTGAGCACCAAATTATAATCAATAGGAGACCGAATAAAACTCTGAGTACAGCTCTGGATAACATCGGCAATGGGAATAGTTTTCTCTGGATGGTGGTCTGAAGAGCGCTTCCTGGAGGAACCACTGAGTGATTTATCCACTACATGCGCTGGCGGCTTTTGGACTGGAAAAGTAAGTATGGAAATGTTTGAGATAACCGAAAAACACGTTCTGCTTACACCAGACCTCAATGCCTACGTTCGAATGGTTGGCTTCATCGTAGAGGTACTGCTTCAAAACTCGACCGTTATCACAGTGAATTGTATGAAGCAACCGCGATTTACGAGGAGTCTGAACTGACGTATCATTCATTAACCACCTTCTTAGTTAATTCAGCAGCAGACTTCTGAAGATTTTCTAAGCACTAGGACGCTCATCTGTGTGTCAATCACAGAGACAGCTCCAAGTGATTGGTAAACCTCTTATAATCGCTGGGTTACAACTGTACCAACTCGGTATGTACCAAATCGAATCACTCGTCCATCAATTCAAGCCCCAATTGGCAAGGGGTTCAGAGCAAGCTCCCTCGCCCACACGTTAACGCCGTTACATCTAAGGTTCTGAGCTGTCCCATGTGTACGGCCCATCACCCCTTATGCGAATGTGCTGCATTTCGGGTCAAGTCACCAGAAAAGAAAGTTCAGGCCTTGAGGGAAAGTAAGCTGTGCTTGTCTGAAACCCAACCACCGAGCAGACAAATGGCGAGCCCCTAATCATTGCGACGTGCCAGGGTGTGGCAAACGCCATCATCGGTTACTGCACTTGGACAGTTCAGGGAAGCCACCCACTTCGCACACTGCTAATATAAACTCGAATTCAGTGGAAGTCCCGTCAGTAATCCTAGGGTTTTTTCCAGCGCGCCTCGTCGGCCCCAATGGCATTGTACTATGTTATGCACTTCTAGACAGTGAATCAGACTCTACTTTGGTGTCGCTCGAAGTCGGATTGGGCTGAAGGGCGCCCCAACAGAATTGGAGTTTAATTCGATCAACGGAGCGCCGAAGAAGAGTATAACAGCTTTTAGGTTGACCATCGAGTCCTTGAACAATGATTATCAGACGCATGTATCAACCGTGTATTCAACGGACCAGCTACCCCTGATGAGACCGACCGTACCGTCTCGAGAGTTCCTTCGTCGCTGATCGCATTTGCGAGACATTACGCTCCCCCGAATCGCATCCCAAAGGGTGTCTATTCTAACAGGTACAAATGTGCCAGATGCTCACTGGGTGATAGAGCAGCGCATCGGGACCAGTAAGCAACCTTATGTATCATTGACAGTATTCGGCTGGGTCGTTTTTGGTCCATCAGATATCGGCGGTAGCAAAACCACCACAATAAACTGCCTTAATAAGCAGTAACACGCTTGTTTGAACTCGAATTTAATGACCGAAGACCCTATGTCAATCGAGGATAAACACGTTTCAAGTCTAGCGAAGCAATCAATCAGTCTCTTGAACGGCCACTATGGAAACGTGATTGGCATGACCTACCGGAAAACAAACATAGCCGAAAAGCGACTCAAATACCTTCGGCTCCGCCTACTAAAGGACTCGAATCTCTTACGGCTGTATACAAACACTACACTGGAACACGAAGCCAAGGGCTACGTCAACAGGGCCCCGACCGACCAGTGTGAGGTACGTCGATTCGTCCCTCACCATCCAGTTTTTAATCCGCACAAACCTGGTAAGGTGAGGATTGTGTTTGATTTTGCGGCGAAAATCTGGAAAACTGTCGCTGAATGACTGTTTATATCACCTGAGTTTTGCTGCGATTTCGTTTGGACGATATTGCGTTGTCTTTATACGATACATTAGGATACGTCGCGCGCCCTTGCTGTTCAAGCCAAACAGTTGCTACAAGAGCTTTATCGATCAAACTGTGGCTGGGATGAAGAAGTTAATCAAGGTATTCAGGATGCTTGGAAGAAGTGGAGAAACGACATCCAAACTGTCGAGTCATTAGCCATCCCTAGATGCGTCAAACCTAAACAGTCTGTTGTAAGGTTGGTTATGGAGCCGTGGCTAACCTGAGATGTGAGTCGCTACGACAAGTTCACTGTGGCTTTTTAATGGGAAAATCAAGAGTAGCACTCCTCAAGTCAGTTACTATCCCACGCTTTGAACTTCAGGCCGCTGTATTAGCGGTTAGATTAATGTGCCACCTGGTGAAGCAGCTCGAAGTCCGGTTCGACAACATATACTTTTGGACAGACTCAATGATTGTATTGCATTATATTCTTAGCACAAGGTTTAGGTTTAAGACCTTCATGGCCAACAGAATCAGCTTCATAAACAAAAATACCAACACTTCACAATGGAGACATGTCCCGATCAACATGAATCCTGCCGACTGTGCCTCACGTGGTATCCATGCAAAACATTCTCAGCTATTAGAACTTTGGATTCAAAGACCTGAGTTCCTGAAGCTCGGTGAGCAGCATTGGCCCAAGATTGACATCGAACAACTTCATCATAAGCCCACAAACCTAGAGTTGAGGAAAGCCGCCACAGTTTTAGTTAACGCGACAACCGACCTTCATACTATTCAGTGTGGTTGAGGCTACGACCAGCCGTAGCTTGGTTTACCAGGTTCAAATCTTACCTCCGCGGCAAAAGAGTTGGTAAGGATATTGAACTTGAAAATACCCTGCGGCTCGACGAAATGAACGAAGCAGGACTGTCGATATTGCCGTATGTTCAGCTGAAAACGTTTCCCTCGGAGCTCAGTCTAACTTATAAGCTCGACTCGAAGCCATGTAAAGGGTTATATAGGAAATCGTCGATTTACAAGTTACATCCAATCCTTCTCAATGGCTTGCTATGTGTGGGTGGTCGACTGGGCAATAGCGCTCTGCCAGAATCCACAAAGCACCCTATAATCCTCCCAGGAGATCACCAAGTAACGCGAGGCATAATTAATCATTATCATGAATTGGAATGTCATATGGGCACTTCACATACTCTACCAGCTATACGACAACGGTATTGGATCTTAGGTGCCACCACAGCTGTCAAGCGAATCAACAGGGGGTGCATGGGATGCAAAGTAAGGTAAGCTGTCCCAGCCGAACAATTAATGGCGGATCTCCCAGTTGCCCGAGTAAGGCCAGAATACCCATTTGCAGCGACAGGCGTCTACTTCGGACCGTTTCAAACTCGCGAAGGTCGTATCACGAGGAAGCGGTATGGCTGTATGTTTACATGTTTACAGACCCGTGCGATACGTATAGTGTCTTATTCGCTATCCATCGATTCATTTTTCATGGCGTTTTTTGGATTCATCAATCGATGAGGAACTCCAAAGGAAGTGTACAGTGATAGGGGCACCAATTTTGTTGGGGCAGAAACGGAGTTGAAACAACTCTTGAAGACGTTGGATTGCAACAAAGTGAAGGACGATATGTCACGACGACAAGTAGACTGGTACTTTAAGCCCCCTTATGCTAGCCACAGAGGTGACATCTGGGAGAGGATGACACGATCGATTCGACGTGTTCTAAGCGCAGTTTCTCGGGAGTAGGTGTTAACAGAAGAATCGCTGATAACATATCTAACGGAAGTAGAACGAATACTGAACAATCGCCCATTGGTCCCTGTGCTAGATGATCCTGAAAACATTTATGTATTGACCCCGAACCATCTATTGCTACCACGAGTATCATTCGTCCCTATTGACGAAGACCCAGGACTACGGCACCGATATACTGGGCAGTGGAGACAGAGTCAATTGATGGCCGACATGTTTTGGCGCCGCTGGCTGAGAGAATACCTTCCACTGCTTCAATCGCGACATAAATGAACGACTCTCAGAAGAAACATAAGAGTGGGTGATCTGGTATTGATGCTTGGAGAGCAACACACGCGCGATACCTGGTCGAAAGGAATTATAACAGCCACTATACCTGGATTTGATGGGTGTGTCAGGACAGTCGTGCTCAAGACTCCCGATGGTCCAGCAACCAGAGATATACAGACGGAAGCCACTATAATTTGAGATTTGTACCCCTTTTATTACGTATTTTATACATGTAATACCGCATCTTTTGATAAATCTCAAGAATCCACAATTGCTGGCTTGTGATTTTGCGCGTCACCCAAGTGGGCTTTCCTGAGTACGTCGAAGTATTCTACATATGGCCATTTGTCAAAACATCAGGAAAAAGTAACTGCCCTTATTAGTGGTTCGAGCCCAGTTATCGCCAAAACATCCAAACTATAGAAGTAGTTAATAACAGTCAGCAAGATGGAGTTCGCCCTATCGTTTCTCAGACATTTTCAGCGCCAGCATGACTATACAGCCATAAGAGGAACACCGAATGGTGTACGATACCGTATTGTATACAGTAAATAGATATACAAAATACGGAACATGTACAACGTGCGAGTTCACGAAGATAAGTGGAACGGAAATGGACAAGCTTCTCAAAGTGCTGGTAACTAGCCTGCAACCACCATAACTAACACGTTTTGAACTGGGGACCATTGATAGCGATAATAATACTCATTTATCTGGTCTAGAGTGTTCTGAGAGCTCATATATAGCTAGACAGAGCACGTCCAAGACAAACCAGCGCTCGCAGGATGTAATCTAGGAAGAAAACGCTTCCGCAATAAGCTACTTACCCTCACTATCCATATGGCGAAACGCCTTCATTTCGGCCAGGATACGGGAAGCATGGAGAGGGGTTGAACGGAGTTGCCGCGAGTCGACTGTTACTGGCGTAGCCAACTGGTGAGAAACACTGTCACGTTGAAGATGTGGTTCCAACGTATTTGTCGTCAAAGTGTTGGATACGTGTGCTGTGTTTTGTAGCCTTGTGGAGATTTGATTGTTTTCACTGGGACCAGCGTCTGGAGCGGCAACTGTATCTGTAAATACAAGTCACTGTTACATTTACACGAGGATCAAATTTGCGATAGGGTAGACATACTCGTGAGGAGCGGTGCATGAAGAAACACTTCAGGTAACCCACATTCGCCCGAGAATAAACTGTTGAAACGGTTTCGGTAGACAAACATCGATCGGGAAACCAGAAATACACAGTCCGTTGTACGCGAGAACGGCTTAACAGAAGGTTCGACCGTGATCTGCATTGCGCTCAAGTTTATCCATAAAATGTGATCGTTCATAGAATGTGGATACCGTGAGGCGGCTTCTGATGCGGGGGAAGCTATTTCCAAGCTATTGTTGCTCTGTTGACCGGTCTGTTATTCTTAGTATGTTTGCTCAGTAAGGAATCCTGCAGGCTATTGTCAATACGATAAACTCATCCTATTCCCAGACTTGCAGGCTTGTGAGACCAAATGGAAGGCTTTCCAAAAGCTTCTGTACCAAAACCGTACTGCAGAAGGATGTCAACTTTCTCCATTCTTATGCAAGTTTATGATCGACGAGGCACATTAATTCTAGGATCTATTTGGAACACCGATCTTCAGATAGCTACTGTAAAAAACTTCTAGAGCTGGGTTCTACTATAGCACCATTTCGGTGTCTAACTGCCATGCAACCAGAAGGAAGCACGAGGGCTGGGATACTGACAGGTTGCCCAAGCATAGACAGGGGAAATCGACGGAGGGTTCGAACCACAAACCTCCCGATCAGTAAATCTGCGCTCCAACCACTTGGAAAGCAGCATATCCCTGAATTTTGAGGGACGTATGTATCATGCTGCTTTGTTATACATATGGGAGAAGTGACCTCTGCTAGCAGCAGCAATGAGACGTCTTCAGATTTTCGTCTCAGAACTGTACCTTGTGTGGGCCGGTACCAGTCAATGCACAGCAAGATAGAAAGCAAGTGTTCGGCTGTGCAACAGGGGCGACCCAACACCAAAAGCTGCAGCGATTTGACCGAGATGAGTACGTTTTGATGCCTAATTCGGAGTTGGGCAAACAGATGGTTATCGTAGGGAACGAAGTTAACGGGATCGACCAAATGTGGCTACAATGGACGGTTGGTCACTGTAGATGTGTTTAACTGATTCCCTATGGACATCTTGATGGTCCTACAGATGAGCACAGTACCCACCCACCCCCTACGAAAAGGCGATTCCCCAGCTGGATATAAGCTCAAACGGACAACATCCACTGTCGCCCAACTGTTACTATTAATGCACCACGTGACCACTTATAAAGAAACGCGCACCACCCAAGATCAGACTATAACAGTGTAACAGCGTTGATTCAGACGGCAGATATGCGATTCATGTGACGCCTGGACGACATCCATACATGCACACATCCTGTAAGAGGACTGATGATGACGCCTTCACTAGTGCTTTTTCCAACAGCATTTGTGTCCAGGAATTCCCATTAAAACGGTTAGAGAAGCAGCATTTCATATACACGCTGAAAACTCAAGGTAGGTTGGTTACCGAAATTAAATCACGTGTATCGAAAAGATAAGAACAATTTTTCATCACTTATATGTTGGCGTCCGAGGATAACAAAAAAAGCCGACGTTTTCTCGGTTAGCCATTAAAGTGAAACACCAGTCCAGCAACTCAGCACGTTCAGAATATGGGATAATGGTTTTGCTTGTGTGCCAAAGGAAACTACAGTGCTGCAATAAAGTTCGAGGCGAGCAAACCGAATTCAGTCCTGACTGGTGGGTCAATCGATCGCCCCAACCAGGACACTTACTGGGTCGTCATTCGAAGATGCGGAGTTCAAATCCCAGCACGGCCATTGGATATGCACCGCTGATGAGCTCTAATAAAAAAGCTAAAATCGAGTCCAGTGCTTCCTTATGGTGTGCACTCGCCAGAACAGGAGAGTGGTGTGAATATGAACAGAATTCAGTAATTTGATAAACTCTAATTCATCTCATGCCTACAAAATTACGCTTCTTTTCCAGGGAAGATGTTGGAGGTAAAGGATAGCTGCAAAAGCTTCAGTATGACCAAATGAAAAGGCTTAAAAATCAGGCCTGGCCTGGCTATCTCAGCTCCTGCCGAAGTACTCATACGGATTGCGTAGCCTTTGTTGATGAACGTATGTACAACTGCTCTTCGTGGAGCTTTCTTGCACTACCATTAGGGTCTACGGCGGATATCTGGCGTCACAACCGGGTTAAAGAACATCAGTGGTCTGTCTCGCCCGTGATGTGGGGCATCCCACAAAACGTCAGGGATTTGGGTTTCGTACAACCATTGTCACACACATCTGCAAAACCGAGTTAGACCCTTGAAACCGTATAGCCCTTCGAGAACCGTTCAGCTGTAACACCCTTCCGGTGCCTACCTGCCATGCCACCGGAAGGAAGCAGGAGAGCGGGGATACTGCCAGGTTGCCCAAGCCTAGACAGGGGAAGTCGAGAGGCGCTCTAACCACTTGTGCCATCACGCCCCCTGAAACTGTATAGGAGAATGGGTGGATGAAGGATGATGGTAATTAGTCTGTGGGATGACGTCATGGGCACTTTTCAGCCTTTCATCATCAGGCAGGAACCACACCAGTAGCGCACTGGTAGGAAAGAAAATGAGGTAAAACTGGCCTGTACTGACATTAATTACCAGACCGGTGATCTGCATTCGCTGGATTCAGTGACTCGACACTCTCAGTATCCGGCTACAAAGCGAAACAAAAGCAACAGGCACTGGTCGCATAAAAGTTAGTCGTATTGGTGAAGTTATGTGCGTTCCATCATTCAGTACAACACTCACAACAGGCCGCCATCCCCTAATATGGAGACGGGTATCCGTGGAAAGATATTTGGTTCACTGAAAGGTCATTCTTCCGATTTCCGTTCACAGATGGAGCACTGAACTAGGCAACCGACGCTTCGCGTACTGTTTGTCATTAGCGAATGCGCTCAACTTACTAGCTTCTTCTCATTCGCTTCGCTTCTCTTCGCTTGGTCTCGGGGGTGACGTGCGGCATTAGTAACGCACCCACCCGTAACGCAAAACAGCGTTAGTGCTTTCTTGTCCGCTGCACGCACAAATGCCACATGGTTATCCCTCATGTATTCATTTAACGCCTTCTCAAATGCTGCGAAGGATGAAAGCCGGACAGCCGCCAATTTCTGAATCATAGCAGTGCAACTGTAAAACTGAACGTGCGCCAAAAATTGCGAATATGAGATTAATTGGTATTCATTTACGCCTTCTCAAATGCTGCGAAGGATGAAAGCCGGACAGCCGCCAATTTCTGAATCATAGCAGTGCAACTGTAAAACTGAACGTGCGCCAAAAATTGCGAATATGAGATTAATTGAACCAAATTCAAATGAAATTGCTTTTTATTCGAGCATACATTCGGAGAAACGCAACATTTTAAAGCAACGGTTTCGGAGAAAATTGCATATACCGATATGGATCGGAACAGTGTTGATTTACACAGTGAAAATCGTTTCCAAATAATGCCCTTAGTCGGTGTTTGGTACACGGAAGTTTCGCCGATCACGATGAAATGGAATGCCCACGTCTCTGTCGTCGGACAAGCCATGAGGCTGTATTATGCCCACGCAACTGTCGGACACGGTAACTGAATACACTTTAGAATGAATGTGTCCCAGATGGCTCAGTGGTTAGAGCGCGAAGTTACTGACCGGAATGTCCGTGGTTCGAACCCGACTTCTGGCTCTCGCCCTCCCCTGTCTAGGCTTAGGCAACGTGGCAGATCCAACCCCCCGTGCAGCCTTCGGATGGCATGGGAGCTAGGCACCGAAAGGGTGCTACAGCTGAACGACATATATGAATTGACTACAGAGAGGTGATAATGCCCAGGGATAATCGGTGGAACAGTGGCCTGATGGTGTTTCTATGGATTGAAGACGAGCATTTGCTTTAAGCATAGAAAACCTGGTTTGTTTTCGTTTATGTTAAGGTTGCCCACCTGGTTGCCTTGAAATTCGACCTATGGATAACCTTAAAATCACACTCAAGGCCGATAATTGTCGCAAGCACTAATGGAAAAGTTCTCGAACTCCCTACGGCTATCCATCCTCCATACCGGCAAAGTGTAGTTGTTAGTCCACGAAGACATTTCGTGTCCACATTGGCTGTGCTAGACTTCATCGTCGGGTTTACAAATGAAGTTTACAAAGAAGTGACCGTTGTCCGTGTAGCAGCATACTAAGTTCCTTGACACAAATCGACTGCAGGTCTGGGAGACTCAGCTCGGCAATTAGACAAAACAAGTGCACAACTTTTCATAAAGGAAGCTACTCTCAAGGTTGCTGAAAACTCGACCACAACCGGTTTCGCCCTTCTTGGGGCTCATCAGGTAGGCGCAGTCCTCGAGTTTCCGTCAACCTTATGATCTACTTGAACCCAAATTGCACTGTTTTCGAGAAATACACTCANAATTTGGTTTTCACGAGAGACTCAACTGAATCTCTCGTTTATGAGTCTCTCGTGAAAACCAAATTGATTTGCAAATGAGTGTATTTCTCGAAATGCACAACTTCCTAAAAGATCAAGCTGAGATGCCACGAGCTAACTGGTCATCTGATCCTACCACGGTCGTTTTAACCGGACAAAGTTGCACTTCTTCTTGTCAGCTGCCGTAAAGTGCACAGCGTTTAGGATGAGATGGAACTGTGGTGATTATGCATCGGATTACATCACGGCGGGATTACCAAGAGCAAACGGCATTCGATTGCTGTTTAGGAATAACTGCCCACGTTTAAAATTCGGTTAAGTGTGCTTGAAGGCGCTTGGAAGAAAATTCGCCAACGGACTCTAACTTATCTTCACGGTCTGAATGTTTCAGTATCTATGCTGTCCCGTTATTGCTTTATATGGAATAGCTAAGTTTAACTGAAGGCTCGAGCCGCACTTCAATGGACGGGTTACCAAAAAAAGAACAGAAGCTGATAGGAGTCATTCTACAGGTTCCTTAGACCGTGGTCAAAGTTGCATGGAGATTAATTATAAAATACCACACACGCGCGCAGACACACACATACCAGGAAGTTCGGCATATGCATCACTCAAATGTTGTTCATCCTGGATATCACCGTGGGTGGCGTAGGCTTCGAACGCTCTAACTCCACTGTATACGGTAGGTTGCGGAGTGAATTCGTACGTAGAGTTATTAGTATCACTCGCAGAACCAGAAACATGTTCATATTCCGATTGTCCAGTGAGCTTCACGGGTAAATTTGAAAAGAAAACAATGAAGCGCATGAGAGGAGCCAGTGAGAAAAAAGACTTGGCAAGCAGCAAATACTGGTGCTCAGTTTAACCGGTTTCAACCTCCCTCGACGAGAGTGAGGGAGATTGATGACATAAGAGCCATGAATTAGTAGCAATGACCATACTAGTTCATTGATGTTAAGCTTTTTCAATTTTCTACTGAAAACTGTGTCCGATGAGCGAATTTACTGCACAAATTTCATCAGGTTGTGCCATCCAGGACATCACTGCAAGCATCATTGCCCTACGATCACGCGAGCTGTGATAGAATGATCTGAGAATTCGATCATCGAAGTTCTTGCCCGATGGATAACGTGGAATGACACCAGTAAATTCGTGGGAAGCTTGTTCACCTAAAAAGTACATTGGGTAGCATGATGTGCCAAGTAGGTGCCAGCCGTCATCTGATACTAATGCTGCCTATGATGGCGCCCTCGGGATTATGACAATCCACTGGTAGATAACGTCTGAATGATTAAAAAAGAGGCCATCGGTGAGACCTGTTTTTACTGATGTAACCCACAGTGTTTCTCCGTACTCAATCGGAGATGCCACTAATGGTGTCGAATTCTACTCGAGCACACTCTGGAGTGTAAGAATACCAAAGTGTCTTCAGCTTAAACAATGTACATTTTCGACGTTCTCTCTTGAAAACCAAACTTTTTACAGAAAAAGTCGCCACACATGTTCCAACGCAAAACATGAAGGGCCAGCAGACTATGCTGATCAGACTTCTAACCATTGACAAATCTGGTACGAGAGACTCTGGGGGTGTCACGCGGACACCCCCCAGTATAGCTCAATGGGTCGCGGAGGTGCATAAACCGTCACACTACGATAAGGTCCAGTCTCTTCATGAAGGCAGTTAAGCGACTTTGAGACCTGAGACGCTGTACTTGATTAAACCAAGCTCTGCAGTTAAACTGCATAAGCTTACAAGAGATAGGTACTACGAAACTATTGATTGACAGAGTAGATATATCGACTGTTTGAGAAAATACGGATACTATTTCTGGGTTGTTTAGGGTTGGTCACAAGCAACGGTAAACAAGGTGCGTTCCGAGAAGCTGTTCGCCCAACTTCCGAGTGATTTATCAATAACGTAGTGGTCCCAGAAGAATCGAGAAATTTCTAACCTGATGAGTAGTCCTCAGCTCCCTACTGTGTTGTTGCCAGGATACCTGACACGAGAGGTACCACATGCAGCTGGACCGATTTGGACATCTTCAAGGTCACCAAACACGAAGAGAATTTTTAGGCAATTTCAACATCTGTCATTAAATTATGAGCAACAGAATTGAAATGAGACTGCTCAACATGTGCAAAAGAACTAACCGTAATATTGGGGGGTGGGTGCTCTCCAAAGGGACTCATTTCGAGAATGGGAAAAGCTTTCCGGGCTCGTAAACTTGCCAATGATTCACGTACACTTATTTTGCCGTAATTGTTCCCATCTGGCAATGGTTCGGGAGGTGGGGAGATGAATGGCAATGGCACAACATTGTGCTGGGTAGTCGCGGGAAAAAAGACACTGCGAACATTGAGCTGGTTCGAACTCGTAGATGAAGGCCCTGGAAGACGTGAAAAATGTAAGCGAAAATAAGGATGGTTAACAAACCGCTAAGTGATCATGCATTCAGGAATTGTACAGTGACAGTAATGATTCGTCCACCGTGCGGCTGAAGCACCCTTTCGGTCCTTAGCCGCCATGTCAACGGAAGGAGGTACGAGGATTACAATACTGCCAGGTTGCCCAATCCTAGACGGAAACAGTCGCAATGCTGAGGTTGGGTTAGAGTAAGGGACTTTCCGGTCTGTAAGCTGATGCCTTAACCACTGAATCATCTCGAGTCTTATGTTCATTTTAACTTGGGATTTCACTCTGCGAGTGTGGACAATCGATGCTGAAGGATACCAACAGCGCACAACTCACGAACGCGTTTACTCAAACAGGAGACTTCCGTTTTGACGGTTGGACACTATCGTTTAGGGTCGCTGATTTACAGTGCCATTAACTTCCACCCAGACGGAGTGTCGAGTCGACATTCTTCAGTTACGTAGTTCACATGACATTACCTAAAGAGTCAATAGTTAGAAGGCAGACGAAGGGCCCGGATGGTCTTTGGATCTCCAAGTTAATTTGATCTTCGCAATCATTCAGAGCTGATTCACGTCCTCTTTTAATGGTTTTAAATCAGGATTTGGCCAAATCGCTAGAAGGGTGATCGATGGACCGTCAGCCAAACAACAGGGCTTCAAGGTGTTCGTATTGGTGGGAAAACTAACATCGCGGCAGCAGTGCAGCATTTTTGTGGCCCACAAATCCGAATAGAACTATCCGTTTTCGAGATCAATCGATCACGACCATACAGAGGTGCTGAGTCATGCGGATCGATCGTCAACCGTGATCAGCTGATACAGTGATAGGGCAAGCTCACCCTTAAATAGATAGTGAATGTACAGTAGGTATAATGTTACAAAGCCCCTTTTAGGTGGTTTTCCCCTGGTTTAGGTACTGATTCGAAAATTGATATGTACGTCATAGATGGAGAAAGGCACACGTGTACAGTGAACGGTAACTAATGGCAAGTGCGATGAGACGTCCTCTGCATCACAAGAAATATTCTCAAGAGACCTGATACCATGTAGCTCCTGCTGAAGAGATCCCATTCACTGCTATGCTGTGGTGCAGATGGTTTTGTGGAAGTGGAATGACAGAAGTGGATGTAGTTCGCTGTAGTTTGGTTGAAGATTTGTGGAGGGTTTTGTCAAGAGGATTTGACAAAGCCTTGATTAAGAATGTTTCCAGTCTCCCGGAATCATTGAACACTACTTTGGTTGGACGAATGTGCGGTGAACCGACTACAAAGCCAGAAAAGCCTCATAACTGTAAACCGTAACATTGATCAACTAGAGCCATGTGCTGCACAACATGGCGAACCTCGCCCGATCACAAAGATTCTAGCGCGACCACACAGAGAAGTCTGTGGTAGTTAGCTTTAGTGGGCTCACTTTGTCTCGTGTCTTTTGATACCCAATACCGAGCAGAACGGTAGGCTTAGGACCAATAAGGGAGGTGCGCGACCAAAGCAATAAGCCGAACTCCCGATATGAATTTCCGCAGAGCAGCCCAGAACAAGTCTACGACAAGAATCCAGGCAGTTCGAAGGGGCTCTAGTGCGATTAAAACAATAAGGGCAGGTAGGCCTCGATTCTCCTCAACAGATGCTTCTGAAGGAGCGATTACTATGTTCAATTTCAAAGCTGATTCTGAAAAAATCTCCAGAAGTCGATCCGAGAAATGTGGATGTACGTTTCAAAGTTAAAAGAAATGTCAGTCATTGCTGTAAGGAAAGGGACATTCGAACATGAAAGTTTCGCAAATATATACCCTACAAACCCTCCAGTACCTTTGGCTACGCACAGATCAACGACATTCTGGATGAGATTCTGTTCGCTGTTTAATATTCACTAAAGACAGCGTCAGGTATACCATTGTGGTCAGCAAGAATTTTTGGTTCAGCACAATAACTGAACATAGGCTAAAGTATTGCAATTTCGCGGCCGGTCTGCCATAGATTTTGACGATTGACTGAATCGAAAGCGGTTTGTAAATCACAGGAAACGACCCTTGTTGGTCTTCGGAAGGAGCAGTGCATTCGAACGTCTCGAGATATGGTCAACGCGACCTCAGCCAGAACAAAGCCCACCTTGGTCCTCAAGAACCAGTGACGATGGATAGACTTAAGTAGGGTAATTCCATAGGGCACCGTTGAAGCATAAAATCAGTGTTCAACACTGATGCTTCGCTTCCACAGAAGCATGGTTTATTTGAAAACCTTATTAGGAAGAATAAAATGGATGGGGAAGGGTCTTAGTGCTAGTCTACCATAATCATTCCAACTTGCCTACGCCGCCGGACACTCATTCAGGCAATCTGGATATAAAAATGACAACAATAACTCAGTCACCTTGTCCGAAAAACTGAAAGCGAGTTGTACCACTACTTCACTATGTCCGAGTTTCCGACGAGAAGGGCAACCGAACTGAAAGTTGAATCAGCACCCTCAAGTCAGGAATGGGGAAGTTCGGTTGAAAACGTCTGTACCCTGTGACAGAAGCCAAACCACGAAGCAAACAAAGTAACGCGCGTCAACAACTGCAGTTTGACGAAGGTTACCTGGAGGTCTCAGAAAATTTGCAATGAAGTACTGAAATGAATCGCACGACCATATATACGTTTAAAACTCTGTAGGAGCGAACAATCCACAATCGTATGCATATCAATGAATCATCATCATCATCATCATCGACAGCATGACATCAGTGTTCAACACCGATGCTTCACTGCCGTGCATCAATGAACGACCTACGTGTGTCTTTCCACTGGAAAAAGGAACGAACGAAACGAAAGATCAGCAACTTCAGTAAATAAACGGTCAACTTACCCACTGTCCCACTATGATTACCAGACCCGAAATAAGTACGAAATGTACGATTCCTGTTGACCAAACCGATTTCACATTGATCGTAGCCTCGTTCCGGCAGTGGGGGTTGTGCTACGGGGAAAACAGTGAGACTACTGAGAAATAACTCACAGCCGGTTGAGAATCCATAGCACTTTTAAGAAATAGAAAGCTAAGTGAGTAAGGAGCAACTAAGGACTCCGTCCGCGGTCCTGCCATTATCTCAAACTTCACTACGACGTGCAGCCTGACATCATGTCGCCGTTTGAAGTTGCAATGAATCCCCTGACTAGTTACGGTGGAACCGCCCAGGTTTCATTCACGTTTTTCGGTTTGGATCAGACGGCAACCAGTGGGAAAACGCGGTATTCCTAACCTTGCAGGTGGCGAAACGCACTTCAAACCGAGTATCTGAATCATCGACCTCATTTAACGTTATAGCCTTGGATAGAATGGTGACTCAAACGAAGACCATAGTCCTCTACCTTGACGTTGTACAGTTTGATTAGAAATTATCCACTGTTATATATTGTGTTCTGATTCGGCTTCAATCTTCTCAACACGTTTGCTGACAGGTGGAAGGGAGTAGATCGTTTCAAGGATGCCCGAAACCCACCAATGAGGAAATAGGGCGGTCAAAAAGACAACAGGAATGCCCGCCCTAACAACCAGTGGTCTGGTCGTTTGCTTGTTCGCTTAGCTGGGCAATTTGATTGCAAACGTTTCATCACCAATCGAGGTGACATCATCAGTGCGTTATTGTGGAGCGTAGTAGTGCGTAGCGTTGGGTTGGTGGTTGTCAAGATGGTCTGTCAAGGTCAACCTGGGTGACTGGGAAGCAGGAAGCACGAGAGCCGGGATGCTGGCAGGTTGTCCAAACCTAGCCAGGAAACGTCGAGACGAAGGGGTCAGGTTTGAACTACGGAGCTTCCGGTCATAAAATTCGTGCTCTAACCACTGAGCTACCTCGCCCTTGAAACGGGACATGGCTGGAGTACCTGAGCATCGACCCCAGTACCCCTTGCATGGTAAGCAAGCGCTCTACCATTTGAGCTAACTGGATGGCTGGATCCTACGTCGACCCGTGCATGCAGAACAATAACGCATTTCCACGCAACGCATCAATGAAGTCTACTTGAATGCTAATGAAGCGTTAGCAAAACTGCGCCCAACTGCTCACTGATGATGTCTCCTGGTATGGTGACTAAACGTTTGCAAGGCCAAGATCGGCGAACAGACCAACAGCCAATGATTTTGAGATACTACTTGCATTGAAAAATAGGATAATATATGCCAGTTGGTTTCTTACCCGACTAATTGAACACACATCAATGGAAGCCTCATCTAGCTGCAGTTGTAGACGAGAAATCATAACAAAATATTGCTTGTGCGCAATAACATTGCTCTCGTTTTTGGCTCATCACCACCATGGCTCTCAGATGACTGTCACACAGATGGCTGTCACACAAAACCTATTCTCACACACCCTTCATCCGGCGACCAGGACTCCGATGACGCTTTGGATAAATGAATCGGTCCGGAGGCCAGCCGTCCCTAATAACCGAACATCACATCATTTGGACGGGTGTGTCACGTGCAGGACACGGGCCAAACGGCGGCATGCCCCGATTGGTCAGGATGCCAGCCAATCCGAGTCGAGCATGCTTGACTCGACGTTTCTCGCCCCCTCACGGAGATTCCGGCACGACCTTGTGGAACAATCTGTGACTACCCCATAAATAAAGTTGTAACAATTTTCCTTTGTCCCCATAAAGGACAGTGTAGAGCTACCGTGCATTTTGATATACCATAATGGGCGGAGCAGGAAGCCAAGGGACCGATACAGAGTTGCACTACCGTTCATACAAGACACAACAAAATCCTTTTGTCATTTCACTCAAGAAAAATCAGTGATGAAGACGCGAACTCACCAACCGAGAGGTCCTTGCTTAAAACCCAACCTGCTGTATAGGCTCGAGCAACGCGGCAGTATCTCAGCCCGCGTGTTTCTATCGGGGGCATGACGCCTAGACACCGAAAGGGTGTTACAGCTAAACGACGATGACCACAGTTCCATTGTTGCGAGAAGACTGTGTTCATTACAACGAACATTAGACGTAAGTAATCACCGTAATATATCAGTGGGCACGCCAACTATATAAGGCAGGCATACAACTGGAAACTCACAACTTTCAGGACCGGCGGAGGAACAGCCAGGAGCACTTGTCTGTGCATGGACGAACGGAGCATTGGGCTCTCGAGGAAGCCGTCCACTAACAGGAGCTCTCTCAAAACGGGGTTTAACACGAGCATACAGATTGTCTATCTAAAAAGTAAAGAAAACTGACTGTCACAGGCTAGAATTACGGTGGCACTGAATCGTATAAGTGAAAAAAATGCACAGATGACCTCTGAAATTTAATCCAATAAATTTACCTGAGATGTCTGTGGAGTAGGATGTGAGTGGAACCTCAGAACCGAATCTTCTGAGGTATCTCCATATTCATTGGGAGCAATCATACTACTGACACTAGAGTAGTATGGCGCATGAACAGAGTCCACAACGCTTGTCCTGTGAGGAACTGGTAAAAGAGAACACAAGATTAGTCCACGTTGGCGTTTTACGAGATCTAGATACAATTCGGTGCGCGATGTGCGTTTAAAATGGAAAACAACAGGTTGGTAATTTGTTGAAATATTGGTAGCTCGGGTGAGTTTATTGGTTGTTGATCAGGTGGCGGTTGATCTGTTCGCCGAGCTTGGCAATTGGCTTGCAAACGTTTCGTCACCATACGAGGAGACATCATCAGTGCGCACTAGTAGTGACACTAGTAGCTAGGCCTCGCTCAATTCCCCAGAAGACAGCTGCTTCCGACGTAAATGCACTCGTTGGACAGGTGCGCTGTGTTCGGGGGCCAGCCGTCCCTAATAACCGAACATCACATCATTTGGATGCATGTGTCACGTGCAGGACACGGGCCAGACGTGGGCGTGCCCTGATTGGTCAGAATGCCAGCCAATCCGAGTCAAGCACCTTGACTCGACGGTTCTCACCCCCTCACGGACATTCTGGCACGACCTTGTGGAACACTCTGTGACTACCCTATATATATACAGTTGTAATGATTTTCTTTCGTCTCCATAAAGGGCTGTGTAGAGCTACCGTGCGTTTTGATATACCATAGTGGGCGGAGCAAGGAAGCCAAGGGACCGATAAAGAGTTGCACTACCATCCATCAAGACATAACACGCTGGTAGCCTCTTCTCGTTAGAAAGAGACACCCTCACAGAGAGGGATACCGGTGAAGGGATTCTAGGCGCATGAACCGATTACCGTCCGTAGTTGACTAGTCTTTCCTTTCAATGCCGCAGACGACCGCTTTCTTCCTAACACACAGTCCACAGCAGAAAACTTGACACGGAAAGACCGTACTAAGAGTGGACGTTGATGGCATGGTTCAACGTAAGACAGCAGGGATACTCAGATGGACTCAGACCACGCAATAGTGTAGAAAAAATTAACTCGAGCTTCTGGCCAGCAGAAAGAGTGGCCACGTCAAATCGACGTAGAAAAACAATGCAGCCAACTACCTTAAAAAGCTCCAAACTGATGTCACCGTCAGTTTGGTATTGGGCTCTTCAGTGAACATCGAGCGCTGGTCACTTATCATACTTGTTTGATGCGTCAGCATTTGGAGAGCGAATAACCGGACACAGACTGTACATATCTCTAGTGAAGCAAACCTGCCTGGGAATCGACCAGAGACGTGCAGTAACGTGAGAAAAATGGTGTTTACGGTGTGCTCTGTTAGGTTAGCTCGCCTTTCCGAAAAGCGTCTGAGAACTTTGTCTAGAGGCGTCAGTGGAAGCTTGAGCGTGTGAATAATCTTTAAAATCAATCTAACGGATGCTCGAAATAGGGAGTGGCTACCTGTGATTCACGAGACTACATCGAGACGAGAGGGCAAAATCGAGGTCAGTTTTGTCAAACTGTCCCACGCTACTTACACTGAGGCAGAGTAAGATTTTTGGAATATCTCGAATTTGCGACACTCTCGATATGAACTTGAGTCTCTGGTTCCACAAAGTCTACCGGCAATGAGAAATCAACGTATCACTGTACTAGTATCTGCTTCAGTCAGTTGAAGCTGAGGTCTCACACAACTCAAAGCTAAGGGGTACTCCGACTCTGCCTCGCGAACAAATTAACAGCTCAACCGATGTTCGATAGAGGAAACAAGTATTGGTGACACCGCTCGACACTACCGGCCTGAGATGGAACGGATCAAGGTGAAATGTTCCGTCCTCAAAGTTACCCTGTCATTATACTACAGTCTACCAACGAGACGGCAACATTCACAAGCAGACGAAGAGAATGATTTGACAATGACTGAAACAACCCACTATATGGGTTGTTGACTAACCTGCGCTGTCACGAATCGCGGTCGAACCAGAATGACCAACGCTCGCGTACAGCCCATCTGACTCGGATTGTTGCTCATCTATAACTGCATGTTGTAGAGGCATCTTGGCAGAGGGATGGTGAACCTGAAAAATGATAAAGGAGATAAAGGTGTCTATGAACAACCTATGAAAAATTCACTTTCGTCTTGATGTGACGACTGTAAGATTGATGAAAAGCCTGGGTCAGCCAACTGCGGGTCTCGTCCTTTTTCAGGCCCAGTCCATGGATTTTGTGGTGCAACCACCAGAAGGAGTTCTGGAACAATAAGGATAGTGCGGGAGAATCCAAGCGATAACACACTACCTAAAAGGTTGCTGAAAAAGCAACAGCAGCCCACGACCGGTTTTGTCTTTCTTGGGACTCATCAGGTAGATGCAGTCGCCGAGTAGCCTGCAACCTTATGTTCTACTTGTACCCGAAGAGCAAAGCCGGTCATGGGCTGTCGGAGACCCTATGGGTAGCGTGCTACCCATATTGCGTATTGCGGTATCTCAAATATCGTACCAACTGAAAGAGGAGGCAGCCTGATACATCATATTCATTTGAAACGGATTACCATAAGAGAGAATTAGCTGGATTCAGTTGAGTCGCTCGTCGAAAACCGTATGCGTATGCAAATGACAGTATTTGTCGAAATAAACGTCATAAACATCATAAACGTGAGAATTCGATGACACGTGAAGGATAGCTTCTCCAATGTAAAAAAAGGTGAAGTGGCACCCAATAAGATTGGGAAATGGACCGACCGCTATCGGCACAGATTAACACTTGCGCTATATGGCCGTAGACCATATTTCGATATTGGTATCTTTGAAACCAAATGACTGTGGTACATAAAACCGCGTAAGATTTCATGCTCGTAATTATAAAATCTTATCCCTATCCACTGCGTTTTACAAGCGCAAAAGCTTCCTGAAAAAGCGTCACTGATGCAACCGAGTGCGGTCGATTTTGACTGCAATTGAATTGAGAATGTTCCCAAAATCGCAACAGGCTTTTGCGTTTGCGGTAAAAGAATCGCAAGCAACTCCGAGTTATTGTAACGATTTTCGGCTGACAATAACGGGTAACCTTGGTTGGAGCATAGTCAAGATTCGCAATTTTCAACCGATATTTTACAACTCATTAATTTATTTTATCGCAGTTACGAGACCATCACGTAGCCGATAGGGTGAAACGAGCGGAAGCCAACGATATCGAGATTGGCCATGTTTCTGGATGAAACCTAGAGTTAGGTTTTTACAGCACCATCAGGTCCAGAACAGGATCAAACAGGGAGCAGGTGAAACAGCGGTCGATCGGCAATAACTGTTCTCGTTTGTTGGAGCGAAACACGCTTGTATGGCGCCAACATGTTGAATTTTTCTGAGGGTAAGCATGCTCTTTTTTGACAGATTTCTTTAATTGTTTCTCTTGACAGCTGTCGCACAAAGCACATGCGGATGATGGCTGCGGATCGGCTGCTCGTTGGCAATAACTGTCTCGTTTGTTGGAGCGAAACACGCTTGTATGGCGCCAACATGTTGAATTTTTCTGAGGGTAAGCATGCTCTTTTTTGACAGATTTCTTTAATTGTTTCTCTTGACAGCTGTCGCACAAAGCACATGCGGATGATGGCTGCGGATCGGCTGCTCGTTGCCAAACGGTTAAGCGTTCAAACTGCAGGTCAGAAAGTTACGCGTTCGAGACCCCTTGGAGTTTCGTGAAATGGGCACTGTTGATGATTCCCAATAAGGATGAAACAGCCGTGCAGTGCTTCTCGGCTTTTCAGCGTATATTGGCTTCACTTGTTGGATGAAACCTCCGTTAAAATTCTCCGACTATCCAAAATTCCAAATCAAGTTCGGAGGAGCCGGGCTAATCAAAAGTATATGACAACATTTAAGACGGATGTACTTCAAAACTTGATGTACTGATCACGGTGTCAAAAAATATTCAAGACTGTTATCTGCACGCAAATTTCATGTGCAAACAGAATGCCTAGCACTATTGACTAATGTGTGCGCCATGGTTCCTTTTGGTCCTCTGTCCTCCGCCAAGTAGACGTGGCGCTGTACTCGCAAACGCGACCGTGTCCCATTACTTCGGTAGTAAAGTAGTTTGGAAAGAAAAACGAAAGACAAACGTGATCACGCAAGATCAACATTCTACATTATGCATGGTCCATGGACTTGAAGATAGAATAGCGCACTAGCCTGTATTCCTAGGCTATATAACTCCAGCTGCCAAGTACACTCAGCTCCCGATGGATTGACCAGCAATCCTCAATCTGTACCCCAGAGCTTAATGTCCCGAAGTTTGAACACGGATAAACTAGCGAAAACTGGTCACATCACGTCTGGGACAGCAATAAAACACATGCCAAGTTTCAACATGAAAAAGCTACAGAAACTTGACTGCCCTGAGATCAGACTTTTTTTCAAAGTTGGCGGAAGATATGGCCGACTCATTCCTACTATTTCACTATAAACGGTGAACATTCCTTTAAGTGTTTGTTTTCTGAAGGACTTTGTTCAGCTTCCCTGACTCACACTTTTAGGAGCGTTGAGTTCTGAATGCCATCGTCATCTCTTATGCCGGTAAGGGAACGGCATGGATGGACATACTGGTAACACCGAGCGTATGAATGTGTAAGTACTGTGCAGTTGGAAAGGACCTTTCTCAAGTCTTGTACAAAATTGAAGAGGACGAGTTATTGCGACGAAGATCGTTGGATAAACGTAGGTAACGAGTGCGAGACTCCGCAATTGTCTTTGTTACGGTTAGTTGTGCGTTTCAATGCGTATTTATCTAAAACGACTTACTGGTTTCGGATCTGATCCATCAGGGACTGGTGGAAGCTCGCAATTTCGATGAGAGCAGCTTTCTTGTCTGGTAAAACAGAATGAGAGGGAAACCAGTTGGCTAAATAAGTTATGAAAAGTACAAAAAAACAAAATATAGAGAGCACAGTGACCTGCAGAAGCTTCAGTATGACCAGCATCATATAGGACGTGTGCTGGTCAGGAGTGACTGACTCGTTAATTTTTAAATGGCTCTTAAGAGGCTTGCTACTCATGTGTCCCTTCTCATTTGGAACGAAATTCTTATCCGATCTTTCGCAATGACAGGCTTCTGGCATATAATCCAGTGACTATCACTTACCGCATTAAAGCAGTCATAGGTTGGGGACCAAGGGAAGTAGGTGTATCCAGACCACCATGAACATTTTCTGTGACACTGATCCCGTCAGGCCCAATATCATAAATGGAGGGTGGGAGGAATGGATGTGGACAACAAGATACTTCCGAGTTTGGGTTATCCATGGTCTGTGATAGGAAACAAATGCCGTATGTGGTGAAACGACATAATGTCGATGTTCGCCAAGATATTAAGTAATTTATACAAGAAACCTCTAGAAAAATACTATTCTTCTTACCCATTTCTTCCACTACAGATGCTCTAAAGAAAGCCCGTATTTTTTTCTAGCTGTCTAAACTGTCAAACCGCACATTTATATTATGGTTCCACAATAGGGACTCCACTGGGTTTGATCAAAGTGGTCAGGTTCGATTGAAGATATCTACTAAAAACATCGGTGAAATGTCACGTTTCACATGACAACTGAATGGCCTTTGGGGTCCCAATTGATTTTTAAAGAAACCTGTTGTGTTTTATAACAACCTTTTTTGTTGTTATTACTTGAGCCTGTTTAAAATACAAATTGTTGTAGGTCATCACTGACAGCAACACCAAATGAGAACATTAATGCTTCGCTGACGTACAACTCAGGGTGGTGCGTAGGTTTGGATACTGGCAGGGCGTCTACACCTAGTCAGAAAGGCGATCAGTGTCCTCAACCAAGCCTATGGCTCAAAAGCCCAACCACAAGGCATCAGTGATGGATGTACGACCCTCAGAGTAGCCAGCACTCTTAGAAAGCGAATCGCCTGATATATTCCAACTCCCAGCATGGAGGATCAGACCTCTACCCTGGTTTCAAAGGCTCTGTGAATTCCACATGTGCACTACTCAGTATAACTCAATGGGTTATGGAGGTGCGCAAATCGCCTCTCCGCCTCCGTCACGGGTCTGTAGGTGGTTTCGGAATTTCTAGAATTCACGTTCACACCACTCTCGTTTGAACGACTTTCTTCCTGTACGAACGCCATTATTCTAGTGAGCGCAAGCCAAAGGTGGGAAGCACTGGACCCGAGTTCCGCTCTTAATACGGCTCAACAGCAGTGCATACCATTGCTGGTATCGGAGTTTGAACGCTGGATATCTGACGTGCGAGTCGAGCGTGTTATCACTTCTCGATCAACTTACGATTGCATTTCCCCCTCTTCTATGATCTCTCCCCTGTTTCTCTAGGACCGGGATAAAAAAAGCGTTCGTGTATTTGATCACACGGGCTGTTACCTAAATATGATGAACTTGCCGTAGCAGTCATGGTAAATTTCATCATTTTCAGGCTTTTGGTACATGTGGCAAGTTTTTTTTATCCTGTCCGAAAAGTTCTGTGGTGTTCAGTTTCACAAAGGTTCCATAAGCATCAAAAAAGGGCACGAACGATGAGAGGGCAGCGGCGTACCGAAGGCATAACTAACTTGTGGATACTGAATTAATGTGTCAATTGATTGACTGTGGAGAGACAGATGCAGATGATTGAAGTGAAGAGAAACGTACACTTTTGATTATACTCACATTGAGGCATTGAGCGGGCATGGCAGCAAAAATCGACTTCATTTAGCTGGATGAGAAGCAAACTTGGAAAGCACTTTGCTGATAACAAAACATAAGTAACATGTTCCGAAAAGAGAGCTTCCTAGTCCCTCGAAAAACGATCACCTGATGAGCTAAAACCAGATCGATCCTATGCTGTGTAGCACAGATTGACGTGTTATCATGCGGCTAATCACCCACCAAAGCTCAAAGGTGCATCGTTCCACTCCCGCCCAAGGATTCGGATTCAACAGATGCTCATTGCTGACGGTTCTCAATAAGAATACAGCAATGGAATATTGATGCACTACTTTGTACTGTGGATCGACCTTACTTTGTACAATGAACCCTGAAGCCGAAACATCTAAATTTATTATCTCCAAAATGAAACGATATAATCATTGTGATTTCATATAAAATGGTGAACAAAGTAGGAATGATTCACTAGCGTCAAAAAATGAGGTGGTTGAAACTCGAGAAACAAACTGCATGACCGTTTGCCCATAAGACGCTGGCGAGCCACTGATGTAGTAGGACAATAGAGATCGACCAACAACACGTATACAAGCATTGGACAGCACCACTGACAACCCGATTTTACAAAAAAGACGAGCAGGAGCGACATGCAAACTTACGAGGAACAAGCTGCCGCCAGACACTACACGCTCACGAGTACGTTTTCGTACGTTTGTCCAGCTGAATTGGTTAGCAACGGAATACAAAATTAACCCACCTGGATCGCTTGCAGCAGAAGCAGATAACCATTAGGCAGAATGAGGTCAACGCGCACATAGGAACAACGCCCAAATGCAAATGGTGCATTACTGGAACAAACATAATTGAATAGGGAGCGTGAATGCGAATAGAACTCGGAAAACTGGAGGTTGGTTGCAGCTTGAATATCAGCAGTCAAAAATGGTTCTTCAGTGTCACAAATCTGTTGAATTTTCTAGAAACAATTCCTTACGGAAAAAGAGCATAATGAACTGTTCTTTTAGCTTAAAAAACAGGTTGAACACCTAATCATATAAGTTGAATAGATGCTTCCAGTAACATTATAGGTAGTGAACATTGATGTCGTGCTGTCGATTATGATGAACACTGAAACTGCCACAACTGCATGAGGAAGTCCCCAGCCAGTGCGAAGTTTTTTCACTTCGTATTTAACTGCGGTTTGTTTACGGTTACTTGGTGAGCAGGTTCTGTGGATGTTGCAGAATGAAATCCCTTGTGCGCGGCGATCGGAGGCAAGATGTTCGCATATATAAACCAAAACGAGACTCCAGTTATGATCACGTATGAAGTTCCAGGCAATTACGGTAAACAATTAGGATCGACTGTTCTAGCTGCCAGGGAACTAACTAAAAGTCCATAGGAATAACCTCTCCGAATCATCGTTACCTGTGCTGCTGTGTTATTTTGAACCGACGTTGACGAACTTCATGATTAGAGTGCTTTAATGATGAAACAAGAACACCACAAGCCGGTTGTTAGAACTACCAGACACATCCACTCCATAGAGGTTACGCCTCATATCCGTATAGTAGGGCTTCAAGAGTAGCAACCTGGTCCAAGTGGTAATTCTAACGATGCGCCGATAAGCATTCTTCAGCGAATGGAATACTTTTCTAGCACTGTTAACATAGCTCTGCACTGCGTCTTCAGCCTGACCACTAAGTAGGATCAGAGGTCCGGAACATTCACTGGTCTTAATCTTTTCGATGACTGACCCTCTAAACATAAGTGGTGTTCCTGAGTCTGCTATGGTGGTTGAATATGCTTTCGTTTTGAAGATACTATTCTACAGAGTGATCACAGCGGCGTGATGAGTAATACAGTCAAGTTCGAAAACGCAGAGAAACGAAACCGCTCATCTGTAACACCCTTTCAGTGCCCAGCTGCCATGCTACCCGGAGGAAGCACGAGGGCTGGGATACTGCCAGGTTGCCCAAACCTAGACAGGGGAAGTCGGGAGGCAGAGGTCGGATTCGAACCATGGACCTTCCGGTCAGTAAATTCTCATTCTAACCACTGAACCATCCCCCAGTCAAGTTCAAGCCTGACATTATCAAAGCCATGGTCTATATGACCAAGTAAAACTCCTTGTTCAGCCTTGAACGCGTTTCATTACCAATTGACAGGATAGTTGAATAGGTGTGATGATAACGAGTATTCTATTGCATTTCGATCAGTGTAATGAGACCATCAGGCTCTCGAACACTTGCCCAGATTCAAACTTTGGTAGCGCAGTAATGGGACCTTATCGGGCATCCAAGTATAGCTCGGAATCCCGCAATCAAACGGACTTTCGTTAGCTGTTGGGACGAAATGCCATGTTTAGGTATCTAACACAAAGCTGATACCACGTAGAGTAGGTGGGCCATGCTGCCAATCACCTCCGTACCATCGCCAACCTGTAGAATCTTCAAGTGGCTGACCACTTCAATTCCGCGGGTTTGTATGCCGGACACTAAATCCTAAAACACGAAGACATGGGAAAATGGAATACATTTTACCACAGATTACACGTTTCGTATTGCGCCTTCCTTGAATTTAAGTAACAATAAGTGGATCTGTCATTGAATTATCTTCCATGTCTTCCTCACTGAGGCCCCAACGACGAACTGAGGTGGTTTACTCCTTAACCCAGTGTTGATGTTTTAGGGGAGGAGCCAACATTGAAGAAACCTAAGTAGATCGGCTTCCGGGGTTGGAAAAAAGACTTCGAAGTGTTTAGGTTTATTACTGAAGTCGGACGTACGGACACTGCAGCTCAGTGTAATGTACGGCGAGCAAAACTTTCAGTCCTGGTGCTGAGACCCGCGGAGAATATCAAAATTTGGTTGAGGTAAGGTATAGGAGGAAAGATGTGAAAGCGTGAGGCGTCAGCAGTAGCATGTTTTCGCTTACCCGCTCTGCTGTATGCAGCAAGTAGGGCAATACCAAACCCTGCACATTCTGCAGCACTGGCCTTCGGATCGCCAGAGGCGCACAACTGGGAGCAAGTGAGAAGTGATGGAGCAGCTAGTTCAAACAATGCGCTCGTGTCCTGGATTCTTGTTTCCGATAGAAAACAAGAGAGTCAAGTGTGGGAGCAAGGGCAGTTTGCGGTCCTGTTTGCTTGACAGCGCCAGCATTAATAGCAGTCAGACGCACCGGGTGTCAATGCTTGAAGATGGATTTCGAGATACCCGAGAGTGGGAGGTGGAAGATGTCTGTGGTTACGGCGCGCAGTTATTGACCGAAAGGTCCGTGGTTCGAACCGAGGCGAGATGGCCCAAGTGGTTAAAGCGCGAATTTACTGACCGAAAGGTTCGTGGTTCGAACCAACCGACTGGCCCAAGTGGTTAAAGCGCGAATTTACTGACCGAAAGGTTCGTGGTTCGAACCGACCTCCGCCACTCGACTTCCCCTGTCTAGGCTTGGGCGACCTGGCAGTATCCCAGCCCTCGCGCAACCTTCGGGTGACATGGCAGTTATGCACCGAAAGGGTGCTACAGCTGAACGGTTCGAACCGGACCTCTGCATCTCGACTTCTATCTAGGCTCGGGCAACCTGGCAGTATCCCAGCCCTTGCGCTTCCTTCAGGTGGCACGACAGCTAGGCACCGAAAGGGGGTTGCGGCTGACTGGTTATCATTTTACTATTAATTTATCCCCGAGGTTGTCAGCGCTGGCAGACGCGCATATTTTGTGGCCAGAACTGCAAGACTAACAAGGTTGTCAGTCCTTACGGATGGACCTGCAAGGAAAGAGTTATAAATGAGGTGAGGGAGAGGGAAGAAAGTGTGAAAAAGGATGAAGACAGGCGTCACCAGCAGTCTGTTTTCGCTTACCCATGCTCTAACAAGGTTGTCCTTACGGATGGACCTGCAAGGAAAGAGTTATAAATGAGGTGAGGGAGAGGGAAGAAAGTGTGAAAAAGGATGAAGACAGACAGGCCCAGCAGTCTGTTTTCGCTTACCCATGCTTCATACAGCAAATAAGAAGACCCGGCTAATGACACTACACGACGACCGATGTGGTGCGAAAGCAATGTTAGTTGTAGGTATCACGGTTTTAAGTGGGATGGATAACCGGGAAGCATCATTTGACCACAAAGCTCCGTGTCGACCAATGTTCCTCCCCAATCCCTTCCCACCACACAAGGAAATGTTGCTGGGGAAGTTGACCGTCAGTTATCTGACCGAAGGGCCTGATGTTCCCCGCGGCCTATAAACAATAAACAGAATAAAATCTTTCTATATGAAAGCTTCTAATGTCCATGCTCTGTCAAAGTGGCAAACAGACAATACTCGCTTAAAACTGATATATGATATGTCTCCGAAACATGCATACAAGACCGAAGCGTGGGTATTCATCTCGCAACGCCAATGATGAACGCAGCTCTTTCACCCTCCGTGTGTCCGGTGAC